AAAATCCCTGATCCAAAATGATAAATGCACTCCTCTACTTACTGCCACATTATTTACAATAGCCAAGATATGGAAGCAACCTAAGGGTCCATCAATACATGAATGGAGAAAAAAGATATGGTACATGCACACAATGGAATATTATTCAGCCATAAAAAGAAAAGAAATGTTGCTCGTGTATATACAATTACATATTAATGATACCAAAATTTTAAAAAAAGGAAAAGAAATCCTGCCATTTGAAACAACATGGATGGATCTAGAGGGTATTATGCTCAGTGAAATAAGTCAGGCCAAGAAAAACAAATACCACATGATTCCATTTATTTGTGGAATATAAATACACAGCAAAACAGAATGAAAAATGTAACAGTAGACTCATGGACACTGAGATGGGACTGGTGGTTACCATTGGGGGGGGTTGGGAAGGGTGGGTGGGGAGGGTGATGGGGATAAAGGGGCACAAAAATTCTCCAATCATAATGTAGGGTAGCCATGGGGATAGTAGTACAGCATGGAAAATATAGCCAATGATTCTGTAACATCTTTCTATGTTGAAGGGGAGTGGTTGTACTAGTTGGGGTAAGGATTTCATAATATAGGTAACTGTTGAACCACTCTGTCGTATACTTGAAACTAATGTAAGACAGTATATCAATAAAAAAATTAAAAAATTAAAATAAATTTTTTAAAAATTAGCATTCCAAATTCATCAAGCCCTCCCCCACCCAAAAAGTGTGGTTTTAGAGACTCAGCATTTTTTATAGTTTTCAATTGCAAACCACTAGGGATCTTTTATTCAGTCTCCAATCTGTAGCCTGCACACTTTACCAAATCTGACCCAGCCTTGTCCCTGAGGAAGAGCTACCATGGTAGATACAAGGCAGAATTACTGCAGTTGACTTCATGATGAGCTTCTTAGAGAATAAGGAAGAGGCAAGCAGTAAATAGAGAGCCACTGAAGTGCGGCCCATCATCTTCATCAATAGCTGCCTCCTACAATTTATATCCCTGGAATGAAAGGAGCTGTTTGAAGGTCATCCTAACCCATTATCATGTGTCAAACATGCAATGACAGGTCTCCTTCATAAGCAATTCCACCACCCTGAGACAGCTCAGAGATTTAAGATGAGAACACTCTGGTAGTCATATTCCCATCCCAAGAAACCAAGAAGGGCTGACTTGAAATGAACATCAGATAACACACAGATCTACAAAAGTGCGTCACTACTCAGCTCTCACTTGATTCATTCAGAAACCTGTATCTACTGCAAAATCTATTTTAAAGATATTAACCTTGGGAACAGCTCAATATTAGAAGTGTCACTCATCCCTCTTTACTACTTTTAAAGGCCAAAGAGTTCACTCTTTATTTGAATACCAGAGAACTTGCTCTGCCCACAAGAAGAATAGGGAAAAAAAGAAAAATGGCTAATGAATAACCCTAGAGGAAATATAAAGGGACCTGGGAAAACCTCACTAAATACTTAGGAGGCTAGAGAGGGGAGGACAACCCACATATGCCATGATGGTCCTCTGTCAATGGAAGAGCTCCCTTTGGGCCACAGATAAATTCCACAGATGTTCAAAGGGTACCTGCAATGCTGAGATGTACAAAAAAAGTTAAAGAACTTCTTTATGCAACAACATAACCCAGAATGGAAACTGTGCTTTTTTTAGAAGGCCAAGTTTTTAACCACTGACCCATTTCTCCTCTTTATCATAAAAAGGCATCTCAATTTATCTTGGTTTACTTGAAAGTCACATGGTTTTATTCCAACTCTGTATCTTACTGGGAACCACAGGAGACTGGTATGTACACATATAAATGATTTATCCCGTGTACTTTGGCTTTGTTACAAGAATATGAAAATCAACTTTCTATCAATAGAAATCATAATGAACCTAAGTCAAATTCCCCCCTCAAAAAAAAACTTTTTTAATAACCAATGATCAATTTACTGTTCTTAACCTGTTCACTTGAGTAGATATTTTAACATAGCAAATGACATTGGTATAAGTTCACAACTGTTGTTAGTAAAAATAAACCTAAATAATTTCATCAAATCTAGTCTATTTTTGTCTCTACAAAAGCTTTAAAATTTTGATGTTGGAGGAATGTCAGACAATATTTAGTCTACCACTCATTTTACAAATAAGCAAACTATTTCCTGCTATCAGAGCAGAGGGTCTACCTTCTTTAATATAAATTTCTGCCTTTACTCTCCCTACTAAAGTAGGGGACAGGTAACATCCTACCTCCTGGTCTACCTGTGAGCATTTTTCCAGTTGATGCAAGTTCACACTTGACATGGACCTGAGTTACATCTACTCATAAATCCAGATCAATGGTAGCTGTAAGATTTATCTACATGTAATTTATTGCCTCTACTACCTCCCTCTCCGGTGCTATGATGCCTCTAAAAACTGAAACTGACCAAAAACTCCACAGAACAGAACCCTGGACTGTTCCGGTGTCCAAAACTAGGGTACCTAGAATCACTTACAACTGGGCCTTGATAGAGCTTTTATAGTCTGTTCTTAATTATTTAGAGGTGATTCATTTAGTACTTTTTCTCCCTCTGAGACAATATACTACTCCATCAGTGGTCTGACAGGAGAATTAAAATGGTACATAAACAAGCCAATCCTAATATCACAACTGTCTAAAAAATTCTAAATAGGACATGTCAGGAATACAATTTTAAGTAAAAGAACAACTTGAGCTTTTGAAACATGAATAACTTTTGCTTCTAACTTCCTTTAAAAAGCCAAAGTAAACAGTGGCAAACTTAGATCTTATGAAGTTAACTTACAGGAACCTAACTAGGCCCCATATTTTAGAGGACCTCTGCTCTGGCCCTCCTCCAGCCACACCCCTTCCCATCAGGTAAAGGAGCTCTCAGGGTCAAATGAATGGATGTGCTGAAGTCATCAGCCCCAAGCCCACCTCCAGGGCATACACAAACATCTTCCCCAGGTCTTTCCAAAGGCACAGCACATTCATGGTTGGCACCCCCTGGACTTGACAGGTGTCTAAAGGGTGGAGATTTCTAAGGAGTGTGGACAGAGCTTGGACATGTGGGATAAGATGCCCATACAGGTGCATGCAAGGGTCTTTGTTAAATAGGGGGACAGCAAAGAAGGGACAGGCAACCAGGACTGGGAAGGGAAGAGGGGTAAGCCCTCTCCATGCAGCCACATTTAGCATGGAGCTCCAAAGAATCTGAGAATTCTACAACTGAACCGGGGTACACATCAGTATATTTGGCAAGAACTATATCATGTCATGAACGTATCTGAATGGTTTATTAGTCAGATTTATAACTGTTAAATATTTAATATAAAGTATATGTGCCTCGTTTGTACTTTTGTCCTGGGTCCCACATTCATCAGAAGCCAGCCTAACAGGGACCTAACTTAGGGAAATTCAATAGTGTATACTCAGGGAAGAGAGAAAGGAAGAAGTAAATTTTTCAAAATGCTGTATGTAGTTCCCTTTATCATTCCAATCAATGAGAGAAAACCTCATTGTGCAGAGGAGATAGGAGATATGAAATCTGTTCAGCTCCTAGGTGCCTGTCAGGAGAAACTCCTTACTGCAATGGGTATATGATTCTCATGCTTAAAAAACTGTATTTTTCACACACCAGGGCCCCAAATATCATCAAGCTCCTTCAACTGGCATGTCAATGAAGGAACAGTCATTCTTTTCCATGTAGAGAAAGCACTGGTTATGCTGGACTTACTAGAGATGGTTTATCTGTCTCCAACATGGCATATTCCTAAGAGACAATCATGGGTAATTTTTATGATTACTGATTTTTCACCTTATGAGCAAACTCTGGACTCTAACACCCATGTGAATTGTGCTTCCACTTTATGATGGAAATTCTCCCACAGTTAAGTCACTACACCTCAAAGCTGACCCTCAATTCTACAATCCAAGTGCCTGGGTCGGCACTTATCCATGTTCTGTCGCAGGAGCCAAACATGACTCAGAGAGAACAACTTGACATGTCAGGGATACTTTTTACCCAATCCAATAGGGAAGACCTGAACTTGAGATATAAATTTGGATCCTTGGCTTCTGGAGGACAAGGGAAAAAAAGGATTAACCTGAGTCTGAGAATAGGTCTTAAAATTGTTATGAACAACAATAATACCTACAAAGTACATGACTGAACTTGTATACTCACTAAACTTGTCATTTAACATAATAAAACATTGACTAAAATATATGTATTTACTCCATTTCCTCATCTATAAGCAGAAGTTTATTCCTATCGTCTCTTCTGCTATGAAAAATCTTTAATTCTATGGCAGTTCTATTTATGGAGTCTTGGAAAAGTTAGGTCACGAATTTAAGAATATTGCTCTCCCAGCTTTGCACAAGCAAGCCTTACCCAGAGACCTGCTGCTAACTATATGTCAGAGCAAACATCCCCTTAACAGGAGAGAGCCTGTTAAAATGAGTCATGAACATAAAAAAGGGTATAAAGACCCAACGGTAAAGAGCCCTGTACCAAGTCCTATCACCTGCAGAAAAGTGAAGTGAGAAACTCTGACCAAAAAGGAAAAGCATTACACATTATTTTTGGAGAAATCTGCAGATTAGCTCATGCAGGAGATTGAAAGTAGATAGCGTATTTGTTTAGGAAAGATTAACTTAAATCAGTGGAAAAATCCATAAATCCTTTTAAACTATAAACCAAGGGCTTCCAATTACACAAACTGGTGGGTGTCTGCATGGGTTCAGCTGCTCTCTACAGCCTCATAACAACTGCCATCCCTTTCATTTGAAGTGTGATTTTAAGACTGGCAGAAAGGGTTGTTAGCAAAAGGCAAATTTTATTTATTTAAATTTGAAACAAATCCTTTCCCACCCTCAATTTTGTTTTACTACTCTGCTTTTCAGTTAGAATATATGATTTCAGTTTCAGAGCACATCTAAAAAATTAAATGTGACATTAAGTTTATTACAAAGCTATTGAACTTACCGGGGAAGGAATGAAGGCTTCATGAAACTTCTTTGGGTTAATTCTCAATACGCCCTTTAAAATAAAAAATAAAAAATCTGTGAAAATTTAACTAGGTATATACCTAACGATTTTTCCATGAGTATATTATTCTCCAATAAAAAGTTTTTAAATTGATTAGTTCAATCTAGGAAACAAGTTAGACAAATGAGAACTATTCATTAAATGCATAAAACATGATTTTATTGCTGTCTGTTACACAGGGTTCCATCAAAAATTGAAAGCTCACAATGGCACCTTGCAGTGAAAAGGCAGAGGTGAGAAGCCGCAGAGCTTGCCGTGTAGTGGGCAAGTGGCGACTACTGAGATTTTATGTGCCCCTGTATGCTAGTCTTCAAATTTAAGCTTTTCCTTTAAGAAAAAGACTATGTGGGGATTACACCTCACTACATATTGGCCTTTTTTTAATTCTCTAAGACCTTTCCACAATTGCTTGTTTCTGTGACAATCTTCTAAGTGATACAGGTTAATTTCTAACCTGGATACACAGCCTCAAGGGACTGGATGCATACTTTTTACTCTGGCCCCTCTGCAGAACTGAATGAGTCAATAATTCAAAGAGGCCCAGAACCAGCTCTTAATGTAAATGGGAATCCTGGCTCCAACAGCCAGGCCACCCAGTCTGCCTTCAACTTGATGTTATTCCAGCATCAAATCAGGGTCTGTTTCTATTTATGCTCAGGGGAGCAGGTGGGGGCTGTCTTCAATAGCAGTTCAGTGTCTGAGGCTCATGCAGGAAGCTGTAACCCTCCCCAGGTTCCAGCTGCATTTGAAGGCCACTGGAACTCACGGATGGAGGCAGCTATTTTCCAAAGGAACAGACTCAAAGGGGGTCTTGAGAAAGTGTTTTAAATAACATTTCCCCCCCTCAAATGTTGAAAGATTGGAAGATACATAATTAACAAAATAGGTGAGGGTATAAAATAAAGTAGAAATAGATCTGTCTTTCAATAGCATACCATGTTTAAATTACAAATTTTCATGCAATAGTTTATACTATTGTTAACATCCTAAGTAGACTACTACAAATGCTCATTCAGTCCTTAAGTCAATAATTATTTATTGAAACAAGACAATAAACTGTTCAAGACCTTGAGACAGACAATGTGCGAGTGAGAGTAATGACCAAGCTTGGTCCTTGTTTATAAAGAGAAACATGAGGAATGCTGTAAGTGAGGACACAGCTTCCTCTCAGCCGGGGGGAGTAGGGAAGACAGGCTCCAGCATCAGCGTCTGATCTGGTCCTTGATGGAGGAGAAAAATTTGCAGATGAATCAGAAGGGAAAGGTAGGCGAATGCAGACGGTGGTAAGCAAGAGTGGTTCAAAGAACCACGACTCTTCCCTGTCCTACTCTAACTCTGCTGAGGGTCAGAGAGAAAAGGGCCCAGAAACACAGCTGGCAAAGCTCCCTGAGTCCAGTGCTTTTTATGACTATCTCTGCAACTTCACTTCTAGAACAGCTGTTTCTTGTTGGGCAGGGAGGAAAAAGGCTAACTTACAAGTATCCTAATTCGGCCACTTAATCACCAAATATGTCCTGACGACTAGCATGACAGGTACTATGCGAGTGATGGGGACACAGAGGAGAGTAATAATGAACAGTCTCTCCCCTCACAGAGCTTACAATCCAGTGAAAGAAAGGCACTGCAAATAAATAAAAGGAAATTCATTCAAGTTAACTTTTTTAAAAATTCATTTTCTCACTTGAGGCATTTTTTTCTGACTTAAATTTGTCTCTTTGTTTTCAATTGCTATTCTTATATTCTTATACCATCCTTGTAGCTCAGGGAATGGTTAATAGATGAAGTATAAAGATGGGAATGCCTTCTGCTCTGGAAGTGCTTTTAATTACAGAGCGCTCAGAGAGACCAAGGCTGGGCTCACGAGAAAGAGACAGGCTGCTCAGGGCCATATCTAGGCTCTATTTCAAAGAACAGATATTAAAAGGACCTTAAAGATTCTGTTCTTGCATGTGAACCCCAAACTTCCTGATATATAAAAGCCTACAGGGAGGGATAGAAGCCTTGTTCAAGAAAACATATGCAATTTGGCGCATACTCTTAAGAACTGGATCTCAGGAACAGACTCCCTTCAGAGTGTAGACCACACTCAGGAAGAAGAATCTCTAACGGAGTTCCACAGGAGACTGGAGTCACCCCTACAGCCCGATGGGAGATCAGCAATGTCAGCGACTAAAAGAGACTTCCAACAGATGTTTATTTTACTCACCTACTGAAGTCCAGGACTTCCAAATCCATATTTTTATGATTATCGCCCAATCTGCCCCCATCCACCATCACTCACTTTCCTCCTCAACCCTTTTCTAGGCCTGGAACTGGGTCGGTGAGGCCCCTACATCCTGCTCTTCTCTGAATGCTCCTGTACCTCCTTGCCTTAACTGAAACCTGGCCACCCCCTGATACGATCACTTCCCTTGAAGTGCTCTCAGAGGGAGCCCATTTTATCTCTCCTATCCCATGTATCTCAGGGACCAGAGGAAGAATGTTTTCCCCTACTTCCCCATTGTGGCTTTAAAATTATTTTTTCCTCCATTTTCTTTTAAAACCCTCAGATCCTTTAAGTCCATGTCATTAGCTCCTGCTCTATCTTGATGCTATCATCTCCAAACCTTCAGGTAGCATCCCTGATTGACTAACACTTTGATCCTACCTTGCTGTCTTCCTCTCCAACCTTACTCCTATGAACACTCACAGGACTTCATATCCACATGGATGGCCAGGCAATCCTGGCCTGTCACTCTAGCCACCTTTTCCTTTACCCACTCAAGCCAGCACCTCCCATGTTTACAGCCTGTATCTTGTCATGGTTGCTCATTATACCACCCCATAACACAAAAACATCAGTATCACACTTTCTGATCACAATCTTGTATTGCTCTAGCTCACTTAGGGTAGAAACCCCACCTCACCAATTCGTCGCCTTCACTAAGACCTCCATGGACCTCCACATTTTTACCAATCCTCCTCCTCCCACTATGTTTATTCCCTTCCTGGCCACGCAGGTACCATATCCTATCATTACCTCCTGCCTTGCAAACTGAGCCTTGGTCCGCTCTTCCTCTTCTACTCAACTAGCAAAGCCCCACTCTCGGTTAACCCCAACTATCTGCCTCTCCATGCCTACACCCAAGGAGCTGAATGTCACTGCAGACAAATACCACACAACTGGGCTAATCAGCCTAACTTGGCAATCACAACATGTTTTATTTGGCTTACAGGATGCTTGAGATGCTTAAAACTAAGGAACTTCACACATAAATATGTATTTCCAAGTTTTTTGAAAAATCAGCAACCAGCTAAGCTGAATAACAGATGCTTCTCTTAGAGCAATAAAAACAATCACAAATAACACACTGGCAAATTACATTTCATACACTGTTTAGGGACCTTTATGTCTAGCAACTAATTTAACCCTGAGAACAACCCTATGAGGTAGACACTACTATCCACTTTTGTGCGAGAAGACTGAGGTCCTGAGAGGAGCCCATTTCACACCACATTCAAGCCCAAGCAGCCTGGTTCCAGAGTCCTTGCCCCTAATGACTGCAGGCTGCCTGTCTGCTGGTCATCACAGGGGCCTCTTCCCTCATTTATGCCATCTGCTCCCTTCCCCTCAAAGAACCAACACGACATTCCAGCCCTCAGTCTTCTACCCTGGTTAATGGCATCATCAACCATCCAGTTGCTCAACTCAAAACTTAGGACTCCTCTTTTACTCCTCCTCCTGCCTCACCTTCCCCATTTACTCCATCAGCATGTCATGCCAGGTCTAGCTCTGTGTCCATCCACCTCTCTCCATCTACACTGCCACCCACCTTGTTCACGTCTTTGTATTTCCTTGCCTGGTTTACTCTAACGGCCTTCTACATGGTCTCCCAGCTTCCACTCTCATCTGTTTGTCTCACAACTGCCAGAGAAATGTTCTTAAAGCATAAAATAGATCAGGTCCTTCCTCTGCTTAATAACCTTCAATGACTCCTCACCATCCAAACCAGTCTGGAGGGCCTACCGATTTGCCTAACCAACCGGTTTATTATCATACCATAATTCCTTTTGCTCGCTATGTCCAACAGGCTTCCCTTCTTATTCCTCAAAAACACCAAGACTTTTTCTGCTTGCTCTTCTACCAACAGATCTCTCTGCCTTTATGTTCTTTTCCTAATCCTTCAAATGGTTGCCTCATTCTCACGCTTCAGACCTCAACTTAAAGATCATTCCTCAAAGTGGCCTAACCACCCTCTGTAAGTGCCTTGCCCAATTACTCTCTCACTTTCCTTACTTCCTTATTAGCACTCATCACAAGCTGCAATTTCCTCTTTACTTCTTTAGCGGTTTTTGCGTATCTCTCCCAGTGTATTGCCTATCTTGCTCACTGACAATATGTTTGTTGGCACTTAGTAGGCAGTTTCTTAATAGACGAGAAACATTAGTTGAGCTAATTAATTAATGTCTGCAAAGCTGACATTCCCCTATCACTCCTGGTATTAATGTTATGAGTATCATCTGTTCCTTCTCAATGGACAGTCTACTGTAATGTCACCCCTATTATCTTCAATTCACACCCAAATGTTCTACAGCTGATTTCACTCTTGGCAAATTGAAGGTCCTAGAAACTAGCCCATCCTGTTCTGTCTTTCTGGACTAGGATTTCTTTCATGATCCAATAACAAATTTACACTAATATTCTATTCTAGGGGGGACACTAGTATCTTGCCTCAGATAGCTCTGAGGCTCAGCCTAAGCTACTTTTAACCAAAGCATCATCTGGATTGTGAAATCTGCCAATTCTACCATTTTCATACCCCTCTCACTTTAGTCATGACCCCAAACCAGAGCCCCTTCAAGGCCTTTCTATTACATACTGTCATTTCTACCAGTATCTCCTATGAACTCCCAACCTCCCAATAACTGTACTTACAGAGAAAGAAAGGAAATATGTTCTTTGATGTGAGAACTTATTTACAAAAAAAATTTCAAAACCACATGTACTTGCTTATGTTTTATTGCTGGTCAGTTCAAGCACAGGAAAGAGATTTCTTTGGTCACTGTGGACTCCTCTCCTCCACTCCCCACATAGGGCAAAACAATGTCAAATTATCAGTCAAGTATTGAAAATGAAATAAAGTATTACTCTACTCATATTTTAAAATATCTTCATAATATTCTCTATAAAAGTTTCTTCTCTGGATGGGAGAAGAAAAAAGATGGCACTATAAACTTAAATTTGAATATCAAAGTCAACAAATGCTCATAAGCATATTTAATAAGTTTAGTTTTTCTCCAACAGCATTCAAATTATCTTTTGTCTAGCTTTCTACCTTGCCCATCAAGGCCCGCACACATCAAGTTTATATCAGAAAGCAGATGGCCTCTGTTTCTCTGCCTATGAAAATCTTATTTACAGTGTTGTATATTTCACATGGTGACCTCATATCTGGAACCCATTCCTTTCCCCATCTGCAAAGAACAACTGTTCTCATCTGTGGGGGGAGGCTCTGGCTGCAGAGTCTCATGAAGTCACAGGCCAGAAGGAATCACTTATAAACTCCTGGGAATGAGAGTTGTTACATCGATCAGCTTTTTTTGTTTTAATATCAGCAAAAAGTTGCCTCAAAACCAAAAATTAATAGGAGAAAGCAAAAACTAATACCATTGCAGAATATTTCCCTCACTTTACCTCTATAAATTCTATAACCAAAACTATAAGCAATTTTTCTTCTAAGTTATAACAACCAAGGTTCCCCTCACTCTTCTTCAAAAGACAGTACACCTTGATCCTTTATTCATTTGGTCAGCAAATAAATATTTATTCAATATAAACTTGTTAAGCATCAATCAAATGCCAGAGTCTGGGTTAATGTGTGGGGAATAAGACGTGACCTGCCCACAGTGAAGTGAATAGTCTATTTGAGGACACATAAATGCCAAGAAATGGTAATGAGTTTACAATAAAGGGTACACAGAGAAGTCAGCTTCAGGACAATGACAATGGCTGATTCTGCTTGGAAAATTACAGTGAACCTTCTCAAAACAGGGTAATTTTTAGGTAGGGACTTAAAGGTCAAGCACAATTACATCAAGATAGTGGAAGAAAGCTTTCCAAGTATCAGGAACAGCACGTCCAGAGTCACACAGGAATCAAAAAACAGAGTTTTTACATGAAAAGTCTTGAAGCTCAGCGTGGACGGAGCAGCATGCACCTGCGGGAGAGGGGCGGCTATGAGAGCAGCACAGTGGGTCCTCGTACATAGAACAAAATGGGAGCCAAGAAGCTTGTAGATAAAATGGACTCCAGTATGTGGGCTGAAAGATAAAGAGCAAATAAATGGATAAATGAATGGACATATGTCCAAATGCAGCTTCGACTCTCCCAAGAGAGGCCTTGTCAAAGAAATTCAAGGGAAGCTTTATAAAAAAAAAACCAAGAGTAACTTTAAAAGCAGAGAGATCAACTAATTTGTTTAAAAGTGTTCCTTTCAAGAATCAGCAAAAACACTAATTCAAAAAGACATCTGCATTGCCATGTTCAATGCAGCATTATTTACAATAGGCAACGTGGAAATAACCTAAGTGTCAATTGATGGATGAATGAATAAAGAAACTATGGTAAACACACACACACACACACACACACACACACACAGGAATATTATTCAGCCATGAAAAAAGAATGAAATCTTGTCATGTGCAACAACATGAATGGCCCTCAGGGGCATTATGCCAAGTGAAACAGGTCAGACAGAGAAAGGCAAGTACTGTATGATCTCTCTTATATGCGGGCTCTGAAAAAAACACAGCAAGTTCATAGATACAGAGAACAAATCAGTTGCTGGTGGGTTGGGGTAGGAGAGTGGCAGGGGGGTTACTAGAAGGGGGTCAAAAGGTTAAAAAAAGAGATTAATCAATGTGCACTTGAACACAGGTAAATACAAAAAGGTGATAAACACGAAGAGAAGATAATAGAATCTGTCAACTGGCTAGGTCTTTAGCCAAAAACATAAATATAGAAGCTGGAGTCTCAGAATGAGAAAAAATGGAACACAATCAATATTTTCAAGTAAGCCAGGTAACAGATGACAATATTTCTATACTAATCCAAGAACTATGAAACAGACTTAATTCAAAGAATATGTGGCCCTATTTTCCTTTCCATCTCATTACCTACTACGCGCCTCATATTTCATGCATAAGGAGCCCAAAGCTGCCTTACTCCACGTTGTTTCACACATTCATGTTTTCATTAATGCCAACACCTCTCCATACCTCCTTCCCACACAAATATCACAAATTTAATAGACTCACCCTTCATGTTCACTACAGGAGACACCTCTACAGTTCCCCAGTCACCTCTGAACATTCTTTTATCTGAGCACTTACCAATTACCCCTAAATCATCCATTCACATGACTGTCTGACCCCACTGGGCTCCAAGTTCAAAGTACGGAAAGACAGTCTCAGCCCCTTCATCTCAAGAGCACCCATGAGGCATGCTCCTCACTAAGAACTATTCCTGGCTCACAGTGGATGCTCAATAAACATTTGCTGAGCCAAACCACTTGAACTAGCTTGTAAAGGTATTTTGCAAACGATAAAGCACTCAACAAATATTGTCTGCTGCTGTTTACGGTTTCCTTTTCAATCTTATTCTTCATCATTCAGCTTCCATGTGCTCCAGGCAAACTGAACTATCAATATGCTTCTTATAACCAAAACCTATTTCTCACTTCTGTCTTAGTAGCTCACACCGGTCCCTTTGTGAAGCTCTTTCTCTTTTATTCATTTGTTCAAACCACACCAAGCCATGGCCTAGCTCAAAAACATCCCTTCCAATAAAACATTCCTAGGTAACCTTAACCGGAAATAATGCCCCCTCCTTCTCAAATGTCAGAGCACTCTCTCTATCTCGAGGCACTTATCCCCACTCATGGCACTGTAGGTCTGAGAAGTGGGAATCCCTGTGCCTGTTGTATGTCATTTCTCTCACAGCATACAACACAGAACAGTAAACAGTTTAATGAGTGATAGATTACTTCTGATTCCACATGTTCCAGGGATAACCTTCTAGTATGTTTCAAGCACCTGGATAAGCGTTCCTCTCTTCAAGCCTTCTGAAACATCCTCCTTAGACATGTAGGTTTCGAATATGCTCTTTTTCTTCCCTCGTGTGGACTTGTTCTTTGACTTCTTGTCACCTGGCGAAGCACCAACACCATGTGAGCCAACCGCAGAGGACACACCTAGAAACATGAGGCAGCAATCAACTCTTTCCTCAAATATCTCTGTACTTTTAAAACTGGAGATATTTTATCTTTAAAAAAAAAAGACCAACTAAAGAATGAAACTCCCTGATAATGATTTCAAATAGTCACAAAAAGGAAAGAATGAGTAAGGAAACATGAATAAAATGTACACAGATAAGACAGCACTACAATATGCATGGAACATAATCTGAATAATGGGTTCAGTATGCTTTGCTGTTTATAAACACAAACTTTATAAAAATAAGAATTACTAAAAGATTGTCACTTTTCTGGAGGAAATTAAACAGCTGTACTGAATATAACAAACTAAGACAATAAGAAACTACTTGATTCTAGAATAAGTAACATGGGAGAATATGTAACAAGTCACCCATGGGAATCACAGTCTCCCATAGACCTAGACTGCCCTGTGCCTCCATTCCACTTTTATTTCAGGTCTCCAGTCGCTAGAACAGACTCCATTTTCCCTTTGCCACCTCTAGGGGTTCCCAGGGGCCGGAGGTTCAGCCTGCAGTCAGGATGGCTCATTGCTGGTTCCAAGGCAGCCTCTTCTCTCCGGGTCCAAGGGGGCCTCCACCGCTCAGCTCAGAGTTCTGGCCTTAAGTGGCTCAGCTGTCACTAGCTGAAAGCAAAGAGAGATGGGTGACTGAAGGGCAGGTACCTGCAGCCTCCTCTGTGCTCTCAGAGGTTTAATACTTGGATGCACAGCTGACCCTTCACCACCATGGGGGTTTGGGGCACAACCCCACACGCAGTCGAAATCCATGTATAACTTGTGACTCCCCCAAAAACTTTACTAGTAGCCCACTGTTGACTAGAAGCCTTACCAATAACATAAACACCAGTCGATTAACACATATTTTGTATGTTATTACACATTATACATTGTATTCCTATAACTAAACTGGAGAAAAGAAAATGTTTCTTCAAATTGTCACAAATTTCCAAAAATTTTTCCAAATATTCACTGAAAAAAATTTCACATATAAGTGGACCTGTACAGTTCAAACCTGTGTCATTCAAGGGTCAACTGCACTTGGACAGCAAAAGCAATGCAGTGCCCCTCGCTGGTCCTGGCATCACTTTCTCCTAGAGAATCAAAGACAATGTCTGTCCTGAGCTTCTTTTCAAGGCACTCGCCCTCACAGGTATCTCTAGCCTGCTTGTTTGGGCCACTTCAACTAAAAACCTCTACAAATAGGGCAATGAGATAGAAAATAAGGGGTTCTGAAGTTCTATTCAGCTTGTGAAATGCACAAGAATAGGAGAGAATGTGGTTTTGGAAAATGGTATAATAATCTAGAATATAAAGGCTGTAATGAAATAGGTACTAAACTAAGGCTCAGGAGATGCAGCATTTACTAAGATGTACCTTAGACAAATAACACTCATTGTAAAAAATCAGGAAAATCAATTCTTTAGAGTTCAAAAAAACCTAATTCACTGCCGTAACCTAATGTCCAAAACTATGCAGGGAATCCCGGATGGCTCACTAGCATTCAAAAACTGACAATATTGCAGTGAGACATCTATTTCCCTACTCTTACCTGCCATCACTTTAAACCAGGCTCAGGCAGATGCACCTGAAGAATACAGGCAGCTGCCTGGGTCAGCAGCCTGGAATAGGAGCCCTGCAGCTTGGCCCCTGACCCTACACCTGCACTCCGAACACATCATCACACCTTTTATTTCTATTCTCTGCTGGCTGCCAGCCCAGAATTCCAGCCAATATTTGCAAATTTCCAAATTCCTGGTGGGCAGCCTTCTTTCCCATAAAATGGATCAAAATGTCATTGTGAACACTAGCTTCCATTTCCTCTAAATTTCCCACACATATCCTTCACCAAAATGGTATTTTTCTTTAAACTGAAATTAATGCTAACTCAGGAGATGAAAAGCTACACAGACAAAGAGTAGTAGGCCACCTAACTGCCACATGAAAAGATTCAGGGATAAAGTAAAAAAACCTGCAAGAGGAAGAGAAACATGGTCTCAGATAAACACCAAGATAGTTGGGCAGGCACATAGAGGAGTCCAGACTGATGGTTTGATTCAGAAATGCATTCGTCCACTCAATAACTTAACAAGTGATTCTGCAACATACTGTACTAAGCACAATGAGGCGTACAAAAGTTATTTATAAAAATTACACTGAAATAACAATTAATACCAGTTGAGAAGTGATAAGCACTATGCTCTTTTAAAGTACAGGTAAATGCACATATGATGGAAGAGAGAATCTTCAGGTCAGGAAATCTGAGAGAACTTCAGGAAAGATTTCAAGGAAGAACTGAAAATGTGAGAAAAGCATACTGTTGGCAAAGGTAACAAAAATGGAGACACAAACAGGAAAAGTACAGGCTGGTTCTTGCCACATTAATTCCATTTGGACAGAGCCCAGCCCATATGAAGATAGGCAGTGGCAAGGAAATTAAAACAAGTTGGAAGATCTAGAAAATCAGCCCAGTTTTTCAAAGGCAGTAAGGAACTTTTGAAGCATGAATGTGCAGAAAAACAACAGATCAGAGTTGTGTTTCAGGAAAAATTAACATGGCACAGGATTCAGAGTCATCAGGACTGAGAAAGACTAGCGGCAGTTGCACCTTAGGAAAGAACAGACTGGGTGAAAAGAAAGAAAGGAACTAGAGTTGTACAAGCACACACTGAAAACAGAAGAAGCCCCTAGCACGGTATTACACAGGACAAGCGGGCACCACTTGCCCACCAGGAAGATCTGGAGGAGAGCGAGGAGGCTGCAATTGTGTGAGATTTCAAGTGAGGACATTGGGAGACGATAACTTCACTAAGTTTGAGAAGATAATGAATTATCCGGGGTATTAAATACATGGAAATACATACCTCTGTGTATATGTATACACATGGAAATACATTCCTCTACACATATCTCTACACCAAATACTTGGAAACTGAAGCATAACTTAGAGAGATAAATTAGTCAGCCATTTGCATAATGTTGGTAACCTGAAGTTTTCTAGAATGACTAAGACTGTCAAGAAAGGGTAAACTGAAACAAAAGAGGACCTAGGACAAAATCTGGGTTAGGGCAATTTTTAGGAAAGGCAAATAGGAAAAAATATAAAATATATGCCTTTCTATTACATACTGTCATTTCTACCAGTATCTCCTATGAACTCCCAACCTCCCAATAACTGTACTTACAGAGAAAGAAAGGAAATATGTTCTTTGATGTGAGAACTTATTTACAAAAAAAATTTCAAAACCACATGTACTTGCTTATGTTTTATTGCTGGTCAGTTCAAGCACAGGAAAGAGATTTCTTTGGTCACTGTGGACTCCTCTCCTCCACTCCCCACATAGGGCAAAACAATGTCAAATTATCAGTCAAGTATTGAAAATGAAATAAAGTATTACTCTACTCATATTTTAAAATATCTTCATAATATTCTCTATAAAAGTTTCTTCTCTGGATGGGAGAAGAAAAAAGATGGCACTATAAACTTAAATTTGAATATCAAAGTCAACAAATGCTCATAAGCATATTTAATAAGTTTAGTTTTTCTCCAACAGCATTCAAATTATCTTTTGTCTAGCTTTCTACCTTGCCCATCAAGGCCCGCACACATCAAGTTTATATCAGAAAGCAGATGGCCTCTGTTTCTCTGCCTATGAAAATCTTATTTACAGTGTTGTATATTTCACATGGTGACCTCATATCTGGAACCCATTCCTTTCCCCATCTGCAAAGAACAACTGTTCTCATCTGTGGGGGGAGGCTCTGGCTGCAGAGTCTCATGAAGTCACAGGCCAGAAGGAATCACTTATAAACTCCTGGGAATGAGAGTTGTTACATCGATCAGCTTTTTTTGTTTTAATATCAGCAAAAAGTTGCCTCAAAACCAAAAATTAATAGGAGAAAGCAAAAACTAATACCATTGCAGAATATTTCCCTCACTTTACCTCTATAAATTCTATAACCAAAACTATAAGCAATTTTTCTTCTAAGTTATAACAACCAAGGTTCCCCTCACTCTTCTTCAAAAGACAGTACACCTTGATCCTTTATTCATTTGGTCAGCAAATAAATATTTATTCAATATAAACTTGTTAAGCATCAATCAAATGCCAGAGTCTGGGTTAATGTGTGGGGAATAAGACGTGACCTGCCCACAGTGAAGTGAATAGTCTATTTGAGGACACATAAATGCCAAGAAATGGTAATGAGTTTACAATAAAGGGTACACAGAGAAGTCAGCTTCAGGACAATGACAATGGCTGATTCTGCTTGGAAAATTACAGTGAACCTTCTCAAAACAGGGTAATTTTTAGGTAGGGACTTAAAGGTCAAGCACAATTACATCAAGATAGTGGAAGAAAGCTTTCCAAGTATCAGGAACAGCACGTCCAGAGTCACACAGGAATCAAAAAACAGAGTTTTTACATGAAAAGTCTTGAAGCTCAGCGTGGACGGAGCAGCATGCACCTGCGGGAGAGGGGCGGCTATGAGAGCAGCACAGTGGGTCCTCGTGCACAGAACAAAATGGGAGCCAAGAAGCTTGTAGATAAAATGGACTCCAGTATGTGGGCTGAAAGATAAACAGCAAATAAATGGATAAATGAATGGACATATGTCCAAATGCAGCTTCGACTCTCCCAAGAGAGGCCTTGTCAAAGAAATTCAAGGGAAGCTTTATAAAAAAAAAACCAAGAGTAACTTTAAAAGCAGAGAGATCAACTAATTTGTTTAAAAGTGTTCCTTTCAAGAATCAGCAAAAACACTAATTCAAAAAGACATCTGCATTGCCATGTTCAATGCAGCATTATTTACAATAGGCAACGTGGAAATAACCTAAGTGTCAATTGATGGATGAATGAATAAAGAAACTATGGTAAACACACACACACACACACACACACACACACACAGGAATATTATTCAGCCATGAAAAAAGAATGAAATCTTGTCATGTGCAACAACATGAATGGCCCTCAGGGGCATTATGCCAAGTGAAACAGGTCAGACAGAGAAAGGCAAGTACTGTATGATCTCTCTTATATGCGGGCTCTGAAAAAAACACAGCAAGTTCATAGATACAGAGAACAAATCAGTTGCTGGTGGGTTGGGGTAGGAGAGTGGCAGGGGGGTTACTAGAAGGGGGTCAAAAGGTTAAAAAAAGAGATTAATCAATGTGCACTTGAACACAGGTAAATACAAAAAGGTGATAAACACGAAGAGAAGATAATAGAATCTGTCAACTGGCTAGGTCTTTAGCCAAAAACATAAATATAGAAGCTGGAGTCTCAGAATGAGAAAAAATGGAACACAATCAATATTTTCAAGTAAGCCAGGTAACAGATGACAATATTTCTATACTAATCCAAGAACTATGAAACAGACTTAATTCAAAGAATATGTGGCCCTATTTTCCTTTCCATCTCATTACCTACTACACGCCTCATATTTCATGCATAAGGAGCCCAAAGCTGCCTTACTCCACGTTGTTTCACACATTCATATTTTCATTAATGCCAACACCTCTCCATACCTCCTTCCCACACAAATATCACAAATTTAATAGACTCACCCTTCATGTTCACTACAGGAGACACCTCTACAGTTCCCCAGTCACCTCTGAACATTCTTTTATCTGAGCACTTACCAATTACCCCTAAATCATCCATTCACATGACTGTCTGACCCCACTGGGCTCCAAGTTCAAAGTACGGAAAGACAGTCTCAGCCCCTTCATCTCAAGAGCACCCATGAGGCATGCTCCTCACTAAGAACTATTCCTGGCTCACAGTGGATGCTCAATAAACATTTGCTGAGCCAAACCACTTGAACTAGCTTGTAAAGGTATTTTGCAAACGATAAAGCACTCAACAAATATTGTCTGCTGCTGTTTACGGTTTCCTTTTCAATCTTATTCTTCATCATTCAGCTTCCATGTGCTCCAGGCAAACTGAACTATCAATATGTTTCTTATAACCAAAACCTATTTCTCACTTCTGTCTTAGTAGCTCACACCAGTCCCTTTGTGAAGCTCTTTCTCTTTTATTCATTTGTTCAAACCACACCAAGCCATGGCCTAGCTCAAAAACATCCCTTCCAATAAAACATTCCTAGGTAACCTTAACCGGAAATAATGCCCCCTCCTTCTCAAATGTCAGAGCACTCTCTCTATCTCGAGGCACTTATCCCCACTCATGGCACTGTAGGTCTGAGAAGTGGGAATCCCTGTGCCTGTTGTATGTCATTTCTCTCACAGCATACAACACAGAACAGTAAACAGTTTAATGAGTGATAGATTACTTCTGATTCCACATGTTCCAGGGATAACCTTCTAGTATGTTTCAAGCACCTGGATAAGCGTTCCTCTCTTCAAGCCTTCTGAAACATCCTCCTTAGACATGTAGGTTTCGAATATGCTCTTTTTCTTCCCTCGTGTGGACTTGTTCTTTGACTTCTTGTCACCTGGCGAAGCACCAACACCATGTGAGCCAACCGCAGAGGACACACCTAGAAACATGAGGCAGCAATCAACTCTTTCCTCAAATATCTCTGTACTTTTAAAACTGGAGATATTTTATCTTTAAAAAAAAAAGACCAACTAAAGAATGAAACTCCCTGATAATGATTTCAAATAGTCACAAAAAGGAAAGAATGAGTAAGGAAACATGAATAAAATGTACACAGATAAGACAGCACTACAATATGCATGGAACATAATCTGAATAATGGGTTCAGTATGCTTTGCTGTTTATAAACACAAACTTTATAAAAATAAGAATTACTAAAAGATTGTCACTTTTCTGGAGGAAATTAAACAGCTGTACTGAATATAACAAACTAAGACAATAAGAAACTACTTGATTCTAGAATAAGTAACACGGGAGAATATGTAACAGGTCACCCATGGGAATCACAGTCTCCCATAGACCTAGACTGCCCTGTGCCTCCATTCCACTTTTATTTCAGGTCTCCAGTCGCTAGAACAGACTCCATTTTCCCTTTGCCACCTCTAGGGGTTCCCAGGGGCCGGAGGTTCAGCCTGCAGTCAGGATGGCTCATTGCTGGTTCCAAGGCAGCCTCTTCTCTCCGGGTCCAAGGGGGCCTCCACCGCTCAGCTCAGAGTTCTGGCCTTAAGTGGCTCAGCTGTCACTAGCTGAAAGCAAAGAGAGATGGGTGACTGAAGGGCAGGTACCTGCAGCCTCCTCTGTGCTCTCAGAGGTTTAATACTTGGATGCACAGCTGACCCTTCACCACCATGGGGGTTTGGGGCACAACCCCACACGCAGTCGAAATCCATGTATAACTTGTGACTCCCCCAAAAACTTTACTAGTAGCCCACTGTTGACTAGAAGCCTTACCAATAACATAAACACCAGTCGATTAACACATATTTTGTATGTTATTACATATTACACATTGTATTCCTATAACTAAACTGGAGAAAAGAAAATGTTTCTTCAAATTGTCACAAATTTCCAAAAATTTTTCCAAATATTCACTGAAAAAAATTTCACATATAAGTGGACCTGTACAGTTCAAACCTGTGTCATTCAAGGGTCAACTGCACTTGGACAGCAAAAGCAATGCAGTGCCCCTCGCTGGTCCTGGCATCACTTTCTCCTAGAGAATCAAAGACAATGTCTGTCCTGAGCTTCTTTTCAAGGCACTCGCCCTCACAGGTATCTCTAGCCTGCTTGTTTGGGCCACTTCAACTAAAAACCTCTACAAATAGGGCAATGAGATAGAAAATAAGGGGTTCTGAAGTTCTATTCAGCTTGTGAAATGCACAAGAATAGGAGAGAATGTGGTTTTGGAAAATGGTATAATAATCTAGAATATAAAGGCTGTAATGAAATAGGTACTAAACTAAGGCTCAGGAGATGCAGCATTTACTAAGATGTACCTTAGACAAATAACACTCATTGTAAAAAATCAGGAAAATCAATTCTTTAGAGTTCAAAAAAACCTAATTCACTGCCGTAACCTAATGTCCAAAACTATGCAGGGAATCCCGGATGGCTCACTAGCATTCAAAAACTGACAATATTGCAGTGAGACATCTATTTCCCTACTCTTACCTGCCATCACTTTAAACCAGGCTCAGGCAGATGCACCTGAAGAATACAGGCAGCTGCCTGGGTCAGCAGCCTGGAATAGGAGCCCTGCAGCTTGGCCCCTGACCCTACACCTGCACTCCGAACACATCATCACACCTTTTATTTCTATTCTCTGCTGGCTGCCAGCCCAGAATTCCAGCCAATATTTGCAAATTTCCAAATTCCTGGTGGGCAGCCTTCTTTCCCATAAAATGGATCAAAATGTCATTGTGAACACTAGCTTCCATTTCCTCTAAATTTCCCACACATATCCTTCACCAAAATGGTATTTTTCTTTAAACTGAAATTAATGCTAACTCAGGAGATGAAAAGCTACACAGACAAAGAGTAGTAGGCCACCTAACTGCCACATGAAAAGATTCAGGGATAAAGTAAAAAAACCTGCAAGAGGAAGAGAAACATGGTCTCAGATAAACACCAAGATAGTTGGGCAGGCACATAGAGGAGTCCAGACTGATGGTTTGATTCAGAAATGCATTCGTCCACTCAATAACTTAACAAGTGATTCTGCAACATACTGTACTAAGCACAATGAGGCGTACAAAAGTTATTTATAAAAATTACACTGAAATAACAATTAATACCAGTTGAGAAGTGATAAGCACTATGCTCTTTTAAAGTACAGGTAAATGCACATATGATGGAAGAGAGAATCTTCAGGTCAGGAAATCTGAGAGAACTTCAGGAAAGATTTCAAGGAAGAACTGAAAATGTGAGAAAAGCATACTGTTGGCAAAGGTAACAAAAATGGAGACACAAACAGGAAAAGTACAGGCTGGTTCTTGCCACATTAATTCCATTTGGACAGAGCCCAGCCCATACAAAGATAGGCAGTGGCAAGGAAATTAAAACAAGTTGGAAGATCTAGAAAACCAGCCCAGTTTTTCAAAGGCAGTAAGGAACTTTTGAAGCATGAATGTGCAGAAAAACAACAGATCAGAGTTGTGTTTCAGGAAAAATTAACATGGCACAGGATTCAGAGTCATCAGGACTGAGAAAGACTAGCGGCAGTTGCACCTTAGGAAAGAACAGACTGGGTGAAAAGAAAGAAAGGAACTAGAGTTGTACAAGCACACACTGAAAACAGAAGAAGCCCCTAGCACGGTATTACACAGGACAAGCGGGCACCACTTGCCCACCAGGAAGATCTGGAGGAGAGCGAGGAGGCTGCAATTGTGTGAGATTTCAAGTGAGGACATTGGGAGACGATAACTTCACTAAGTTTGAGAAGATAATGAATTATCCGGGGTATTAAATACATGGAAATACATACCTCTGTGTATATGTATACACATGGAAATACATTCCTCTACACATATCTCTACACCAAATACTTGGAAACTGAAGCATAACTTAGAGAGATAAATTAGTCAGCCATTTGCATAATGTTGGTAACCTGAAGTTTTCTAGAATGACCAAGACTGTCAAGAAAGGGTAAACTGAAACAAAAGAGGACCTAGGACAAAATCTGGGTTAGGGCAATTTTTAGGAAAGGCAAATAGGAAAAAATATAAAATATAACAAGCTAATAAAGATGTAGAAAAAGAACCAACACATTTGATGTCAAGAAAATAAGGGAGAAAATAACTTCCAAAGGACGACAGGTTAATGATCAGGATTTGCACCCACTATTGAGTAAGAATAAAAATAACGGCAGCCTTGGGTGGAGCAAGGGATTGGGGGCAAGAAGAAAATCCAAAAACAACAGCCAGAATTGAAAATGGGTACATCATATCAAATCCTGATGCAGGCAAGAGTTCAAAAGTAAGGGGCATTACTACGAGCTAAGTGAAATGAGACAGAGATCTCAACTCAAATAACCGTAGGTCAGCTGCATCTGTAACTTCCCTTTACAGCAAATATCCAGGTGGTGTGATTTACACCTAAGTTGTCTCTCTAATTCAGGAAGACAAGGCATGTTTGGTTGGGGTCACTGTGGAAACCCCAGTGGCCCACAATAACTAGGATGGAAGTAATATTCACTACTTAAATGAGTGATTAGTTTTCATGCACAAACAGTAAGAACACCAAGCAGAGCAAGGTCATTCAAGGAAGCCACACTAAAAACAAGTCAGCAAAGAATGGGAAAAGAACACAGGACCCAGGAAATAAAGTTGGCAAAAAATAAACCACATAGTTGGGCAGGGAGTCAAAGCTTGCCTTTGGGTACTGGAAAGAGATGTAAAGATTCCAAGCATATAAGATGCTAAGCAGAATGAATGAACAAGCAGCCTTCCTTTCCCAGCAACGTGGTTGTGAAGGCCCATTAACCTGGGAGAGATCCTGGCCGCTCCTACCCTAACACACTGAAAGCACAAGTCAGTTTCTGGTCCTCACCAGCTTCCATAATGAGGACCATAACACACTGCCCAACTGCCCACTGGTTCCTAGAAAGGTGTTTCATCATGGAAATAGCTGTACATCCTCACACCCTGGGGTGAGGATGAACAAACAGTATGGTCAATAATGTCCATGGTACAAAAAAGCAGGAATGAGGAAGAATGGGGAAAAGTCACTAGACCCAAGAAAGATTAAATCTGAAGAAAACCTCAGAGTGAAAGAAGTGTCTTGAGACCCTCTGTATTCCCCAAACCTAGGACAATGCATAGTGCAGAGCAGGTGCTCAAAATTTTGAACAAATGAAGCCTATTTAGGACAGAAGCCAGGTTATAATGAATATGCTCTAATGAGAAACATGAGTAGCAGAGCCAAAACTAGGGTGAGGCAAGCCAGGCACCTAAGATACAAAATTCATAAAAGCAAAGCCATGCAAGTACCAACCCTGCACTTGCAGGATTCCGAGAGTGAGTGTCTCCATAAATGTTTGTGCCTCGGGCATCTACTAGCCTTATCCTAGTCTTCAATGCTGATGCGTAGCAAGAGCAGATGAAATTTATGAACCTGGGTAGTGCAGGAAACTCAAGGAGATAAAGTCAAAAGAGAGGTTAAAGAAAGAAAAGGTTGAGCCCATTCATAAGCTAAGATGGAGCCAAAGGAGAACAAGAGATGGTATAAACAAGTAAAAGAGGACAAAATTGATAGAATAAAAAAAAAAAGAGGATAGGTTCAAAGTAAATCTCACTGAAATTAATGAAATAAACAATTCACACTACACATCACTGGGAAACACATGAAATAGTCACCAAGAAGTGGTAAGACTTTTGCCAATGACGTTTTCTTCATAACTTGTTCTGAAATAAAATTCAACTTTAATAAATAGTAAATGTTTAAAACTGTAAGAGACAGAAACAGACAGCAAGACATAGATGGAGACAGAGAGGAAAAAGCAGGGGAAAGGATGCCCAGAATGGTTGAATTAGGTGTTTAACAAATCCCCAAAACAAAAACAACAATTAAACTGGATAAATTTATAAGAACTACCTATTTAAGGATCTGGGTATTGGCAACAAATTGAGAAGTATTTATTACAGAAAATCTACTTAATTTCAGTAAGAATAATAGAAATGTATGACAGTTTATTTTTTATTAAGGTATCATTGATATATACTCTTATGAAGGTTTCACAAGAAAAACAATGTGGTTACTACATTCACCCTTATTATCAAGTCCCCCCCCCCATACCCCACTGCAGTCACTGTCCATCAGCGTAGTAAGATGCCACAGAGTCCCTGTTTGTCTTCTCTGAGCTACACTGTCTTCCCCGTGAGCCCACACACACCAGGTGCACCACTCCTGGCATTCTCACCATCCCACACCCACTTTCAGTTCCTTGGTGTGGAAGTCCTACTGGGGCAGGGCAAGCTGTGAAGACTGGTAGTTCCATGTAGTAAGTAAGAGGAGTAACATGCAGAAGAGAAATGAGAGGGCCCTAGAAAGCTACTCATCCTTGGATGAATGAGCTTTGTAAATACAGAAAGCAAAAGCGAGGGCAGACTTGTAAGTTCCTCAGTTTTGAATGCATTCCCCAGGTGTCACAAGAACCACTGAAAAAGGATGGCGGCTTCATTGTTTCAAGGAGTTTAAACACAACCTCTGAGCAATCATAGGCTGACCACTAAGATACAACAACCGAAGG